CTGCAGCCTCTCTGTGACTGACCATGTCAGTGACACAGAGATCTTTTCATGGACACTAATTACTACCATCATGTGATCACTCACAGGCCGAGCGCAGTCTTTACAGGTTCACTGAGACATACAGACACCTAATACGTATAAGAGTTCATGCAGGCCGAGTGCAGATTTCTAACATGTGACTGATGAGGATGAGTTATGGGAGGGTGAGGAGGGCAGAGGGAAGGAAAATCTGACTACAAAAAGAGGGATTATGAATAAATTAGGAGAGAGTGCCCTCTAGTGGAGCTAAGAAGAGACTGATTTTAGTAGGAGAGCTAATTTCTTTATGAAAGCTTATTGTAGTATGCATCACTGTATCATAAAACCTTGCAAAAACTAAACACAGATCTCTTTGTGACTATATTATATCCACCACTCTACATGTCACCAGAATACAGCGAACACTGCAGGATTTGTACAATCCCGGTTTCAAAGAAGCTGGAATGCTGTGCAAAATGCAAACAGAAAACAAAATGCAATGATGTGTAAATCAATTAAATGACATATTTAATTGAAAATACTGCAAAGACAACAATGTTGAAACTGAGAATTGTTTTATTTATTTTTTTTATTTATATGCCAATTTTGAATTTAATGCCAGCAACACATTTCAAAAAAGTTAGGAAGGAGCAACAAAAGACTGGTTAAGTAATGCTTAAAAAACCTGGCAGAACGTTTCACAATTAATTCAGTTAATTGGCAGCAGGTCAGTGACATGACTTATGAAAAGAGCATCCCAAAGAGGCTGAGTCTTTCAGAAGTAAAGATGGGGAGGGGCTCACAACCTATGAAAGACTCACACAAAGGCAACCATTGGAACAATTCAAGAATAATGGGGATTATCACCATCTACGATACATAACATCACTTAAAGATTCAAAGAATCCGGAAAAACACTGAATGCAAGGAACAAGCCTGAAATCAATATTGGATGGCCAATATTGGTCGGTTCCTCAGACGGCACTGCATTAAAAACAGACATGAGTCCATGCAGTGATTTCCACCACAGAAACACTTCTGAAAACCACTGCCTGTGAACGTAGTTTGTTGCTGCATTCACAAATGCAGGTTAAAACTCTATCACGCAAAGAAGAAACCACATATAAACAGGATCCAGAAACACCACCACCTTCTCTGGGCCTGAGCTCATTTAAGATGGACTGGCGCGAAGTGAAAAAATGTCCTGCGGTCTGACTAATCAAAATTCCCCTGGGCTAAAGAGGAGAGGGAACATCCAGCTTGTTATCAGCGCACAGTTCAAAAGTCAGCATCCGTATTGGGATGGGGTGCATTAGTGCACGTGGCATGGCTGACTTGCACATATGCGAAGACACCATTAATGTGTCCGGGTGCTAAACTGACCTGCCTGCAGTCAAGACCTGTTACGCTTTGGTCTCCTCAGTTCCCAAAAGCATACAGTGTCGGTGAAAGAAGATGTGATGAAACACAGTGGTAAACATGCTCCTGTCCCACCTTTTTCGAAACGTGTTGCTGATATCAGATTCAAAATCAGCATAAATTAAAAAAATAATAATAAAAAATAATAATATTTCTCCATTTCAACATTTGATATGTTGCCTTTGTACTATTGTACTATGTACTAGTTAAAAGTTTAAATGATTTGCATGTGTCTGCAATCTGTTTTTGTTCACATTTTGCACAGCATCACCAAATTTTTTGGAAATGGGGTTATACATAATAAGGCTCAAATTCAATGTCATTTAAGATTAAAAGCTTTTGGAAAATCTTGCTACTCCTATAGATTCATTATGATTTCTAATATTAATAATCATTCATCACTACATCTATTCCTGATGCCAATGGCATTTTGATTTCTCAAAAATTAAGCACTGAAATGTGAACTACATTGCTGCTGTTGCTGTTCTTGTTGCTTATTACAGACATGCAGAGCCACAAGGAAGTTCACCAATAAGCTACTTGAATAAGCTACTAAATCTCTTAACCCGCAAACTTTACCAAACTTACTCGGTAACTACTACAAATAACTTCAAATAAAAATCAGATTAAAAAAAACGAACACATTTAATTTGAGTTTTAATTAAACAATAAGTTAAAGAGAGATTTCAAATATTTCTTAAAAGTGTGAACTGTGCTTGATGGCCTAATGAAAGGTGGAACTGAGTTCCATAGTTTAGAAGCAGAATAACAGAAAGAGGCCTCCTCACGTTTTTTGTATTTCAGGAAGGTATTTGCCGAAGGCCAGTATCTGCAGATCTGTGCTCGAACATAAACAGACAGACACTCTGTGATGTAAGTGGGTACTAGGTCATTGAGAGCTTTAAAAACCAGCACCAGAACTTTAAAATCCATCCTAAAAGATACAGGTAGCCAGTGCAGTCCTTTCAAAATGGGGGTAATATGAGCTCTCTTTTTTGTTTTTGTTAAGATCCATGCTGCTGCTTTTTTGTAGAGTTTAGAGCTGAGTCATGGACTATATTCTCCTTTCAAGGGAAAATCTCCATTTAAAATCATGTATAGTCCATTACTAGGCGTAATCCTGGTCTGGGAAAGTGGCCTCGAGTTTAAGGACCACAGTCTCAGCGCTAAACATCAGGCAAACCCACTGCTATCCCAATATTACTGATGTTATGTATTAGGTCTGCAAACTTTAGCGCTTGTCAATTATTACCACATTGTTGGCCTTCACAAGATTGATATTGCAGAAGGCTGCATTTTGCAAATGAACCCTCAACAAAAGTTAGTTATCTGGTCAAAACAATGCAGGCCAATCTTTAACCATGTCACATTATTGACGCACCAATGCATGCATTA